AGCTCAGCGTGATGATTATCAAACAATCTTTGCATAAACTCAAAAAAGTGCCTTTTCATTTCAGGCTTCTTCTGAAGATTGCGTTCCAGAGAGGCAAAACGTTTCTCTGCATATTCTCTGTTATTAGGTAGCTTACGACGAGGATACCGGAATGGGAGAGGGGCGACCCAGCTATTTGAGTCATCTTGGAGAAAGCCTTTTTCCATTATTTTCAAGAAGCATTTGTCTTCAATAGAGGGAGCTAACTGGTGATCCTGAATTGTTCTTGAAAACACTGAAAGTGTGTCTGATGTTTCTGTGTACAAGTCTCTTACTTTTATTTTGTTCTCACACTCTAAAAATGTAGAAGGTCTGCCACTGTCAGATATGCATGTCTTCATGCTGCTCACTGTTGGAGACCCATGCATTCCATTGACACAGACATCACCGACTATCACCCAGCCGAGGTCCAGTTTTTGTGCAAATGGTTCATTATTCAGTCCGTTTATCTGTTTTCGTACTTTGTGCACTCTCAACAGATCTCTTCCTATCAGCAGGAGAATCTCAGCCTTGGGGTCGAGAGGAGGGATTTCTGAAGCTATTTTGTTCAGGTGCTTGTGGTGATAGGCCGCTTCCGGTGTCGGGATTTCTTTCCTGTTGTTAGGGAGATTGTCACATTCAATCAATGTGGGAAGCTGCAGACATGTTTCTTTGTCTAGAGACTCTATGACATAACCATGGGCTCTTCTTCCATAGGCTTGTGTTGCGCCTATACACGTTGTGATGCTGTAAGGAGCCTCAGTGCCGTGTATGTCAAACTTATCAAAAAACTCACTTCTCGCCAGGGAGAGATTGCTCTGGTCATCCAGAACTGCATACATCCTCATACTCCTTTGCTGTTGACTTGAGGGATACACGTTAACCAGAATAATCTTGGAACACGATTTACCACTTTGTCCTATGCCACAGACTTTAGTGCAGTTTGAGCTTATTTCCTGTTTCGTCTCTTCCTCCCCGTCGTCCTCTGCACACGGGTGGGGGCTGACTTGAGGATTGAACAGTGCTTGTTCCACTGAAATGCATGGCACTAACATGTTTGTCACTTGCACATTCCAAACATTTGATTGGAGCTTGACAGTTTTTGGCCATATGACTTGTAGAAGCACAGCAGCGATAGCAGATCATGTGTTCTTTGAGAAGTCTTTTGCGTTCATCGAAAGTCATTTTAACAAATCCTCTGCACTTACTCAACGGGTGCGGTTTTTTTATGGATAGGGCATTGTTTTTCTGGGTTAACAGGGATTTTCTCTGTTGGTTGACAGGAGTGCTTATTTGATCTTGTGTGACATTTGTTTTATTGACAGCAACTGGGTGTCTGACTGGTGCACCTTTTCCTTTCTCTGAGGAGCACACGTGAGTGAGAGAGTCTTAAAACTTGGGTCATTCCTTACTTCAGCTTCTGAGCACACAAATTCTTTGAAGAAGGAGAATGGTGGGAAAGACACGTTATATTCTTTTTTAAATCTAGAACCTTGTGACATCCAGCGTTCCTGTAGAGGGTAGGGGAGCTTCTCTACAATTGGCTGGACACCTCTAGCCGTGTCCAAATAGGCTAAACCACACAACTTGCCACTTTGCTTTGCAATCTGTAGCTCTTGTAGAAGATCTGCTAGCTCTTGAAGTTTGCGGTTATCTGGATTGGATTTTGCGAAAAGCTTCAAGTCTTGAGAAAAGAGCATTTTCAATTGCCTCTGGTGAGCCATATATTTTGTCCAGTCTTGCCCATATTGCTTTTAGTCCATCCATAGGATGGTTAACATTAACTGCTCTTATTCTGGCAGCATGCTCACTTGACTCCTTGCCAAGCCATTTCACCATCAGATCAACTCTTCACTAGGTGTCAGCCCTAGTGGTTCTATAGCATTGATGAATGAAGCTCGCCATGCTTGATAATGTTCTGCAGTGTCATCAAATTTGACCAAGCCAGATGTTATCACTTGGTTGCGTGCTAGAAACCTTGCCAGATCAAATGTGGGATTTCCTGGGTTTATGTTAGAGGTAGGGACAAACAGTTTTCACATTAACATTGTGCATTGTGTCACCTCCATGGTAAGAGTTGAAGTTGGGGGATTGTTCCATGTGTCCTCCTATCATGTCTGCCTGATGAATGGGAAGAGACTTGAATTCATCTGATGCTGCACATTGTTGAGTGGTTACAGCAGCAGGCATACGTACTGTATATTGTTGCATGTTAACAGCATTGGGCATAGTGTTAGATGGGTGTGAGTGAGCCGCTCATCCTTGTGGTTGTACTGACTGAAGTAAGATGACTGCTCTTTTACATAGTCTTCTGTCCTATTCAATGTTCGTATGGCTACAGACCTGTGCTCGGATGCCTCACTGTATTTTCCTTCTTCTATGTCTGCGGCTACTGCCTCAAATACTTTTGCTTCAGCATTAGCAGCTGTAACTTCCCTTTGGAGAGTGAGTGCACGCAGTGATGCTACAAGTTTTGCCTTCTCAATCTGAATATGTGTCTCTTTTTCATGAAACTCCAATTTAGCTTTAGCTGCTTCAGCCTTAGCTCTTGCTTTTGCTGCTGCCAAACTGACTGAGGAGCACGTAGATGAGCGTGAGGCTACAGAACGGACGTGGTACTATATTTTGATCCATGTCCTTATTTGATTGCACATCACTTGCCTTCTTTTCATTGTCTTTGTTGTCCATGGCTCAGAAGTTGTCTTTTTCCTTCGTCTACTTCTGCACGGGACGTCTTTTTACTGTCCTGGCCTCGCTAAGCACTGTGACTTTTAACAGTAACTCAGCTATACAGGTAGCTAAACACTTTCCCATCCGTCCACCAAGAAGCACTCCATTTGGTTCTTTAGCAGGATTTAATGAGAATCGTGTAAAACTTTAACACACAAAAGTACAGAAAATGAATGCCAGTTAGGCTAACGCGTCGGGCTAACACGAGTAAAAGAAATATCTATAGTCAAATAAAACATGTCAACGGGTTCCAAATTATGATTTATATGACAAGCAAATTAGAATAGTACTTACAGACGATGCCGTTTCTGAACTTAGATTAAAGAAAAACACAACAAAGAGGGCCCCCTTCGGACTACATGGGCCAAAGGCTTTCTTCCTTTCTCGTAAACAAACCGTAGTAATAAAAGTAACCACAAGATGGCGTCAGTAGATTAACTTAACATTGAATAACAGGTTAAATTAAACAGGTTTCACTACAGTGGGCTTTACATCATGGTATATTCGATGATGTTCGATCTTCAGAAGCAGAAGTGTTGCCACAATTCTTTAACGCATGTTTTACAAGTCCTTTAATCTCCATGGCAATCATCGAGTTTGCTTGTTCTCCCTGTGCATGGTGGGTTCTCTCCGGGTACTCCGGCTAACATGACTGTCACTGTTGGGTTAATTGGTCTCTCTAAATTCTCCTTAGGTGTGTGTGTGTGTGTGTGTGTGTGTGTGTGTGTGTGTGTGTGTGTGTGTGTGTGTGTGTGTGTGTGTGTGTGTGTGTGTGTGTGTGTGTGTGGTTGTCTGTCTCTGTATTGTCCTGCAACAGACTGGTCATCTGTCCTGCCTTATACATTTTTTTTCTATTTCTGTTAGATCTGGATCGGTTCTGGATGCAGGACTCTGCATCTTATTAGCAAAACTAGCATTTCCTAAAATGCAGAAATGTTTGCCCACAACTTTACTGAATCTTTAGTGAACGATTATGCTTTTGCACAAATTAGAAGCTAACCAACAAACCGCATCATAAAATAATGCAGAGCAGTAAGCGAGGAGCAGAGAGTGTGAGCATAAAACCCGATCAGAACTGCATGCAGCCTCTACTGGTAATCATCTCTGACACAGATCTGCGATAAGCCTATCACCCCGGTGATCAGCAGAAACTTCGTCGGCAGCCATTCTGGACGGGACGGATCCATGTACAACCAAGTGGCACCAAGTCCCATTTCCCATCTCCCTCTGCAGCCATCATTCCAATTATTACAGCTTTAATTAAAACAACAGGTCTTCTGCAGATAAATCCTTTCCTTTTTAAGACCTAAATGTATTTAAAGCAGTCAGGAATATGTAGGACGGAGGACTCCGGTGTTCATATTTACCCAAAGTGGACAGGTGGTTGGAAAGACCGGCCTTCACCTCGACGACCCGGGCTGTCAGCAAGCATCTGCTCAGACACCGCTTCACAAAACAACCCCGTTAGTACAGGACAATAGTTATTTTAACACACAAAATGCACCGTTTCTGGTTCCTGCTTTGGTGAATGTTGAAGCCCCAAGATGAGATAAGAAGCAGAGAGCAGTTTATATTTTATAAGAGGGAGCCATGATAATTATTATCATTTAAGTTGGAGTTGGTGTAACCTGAAAAATCAACTTTTTACTGGAAATTAATTATTTTAAAATTCTTTCGTCTCATGTCAAAAAAAACTAATGATGACGCAATCATGCTGAACCTTTTTTAGGTTTTAAAACTTTTAAATCTACAACGATGTAAAAGTTTACCTTAATTCATAATTCAGCCAATAAACTAAACAAATGCACAAAGAGTTTGTTTTAAAAAAAATTGCAGGACCTCAAGTTTATTTGGTTTTTCTACCAAAATGTTTGGACACCATTGATTTAATTTGAAAACTAAATATTTAATTTGAAACTGTGAGATGTATGAATGAATAACAGTTAAAATATTAGTTTCAAAGTAATATTTTTCTTTTATGTCAAAGTAACCCAAATTACTGCGATGTGTTTTTAAGTGTGTAACTTCATAAATGTTCACATTTGTGCATCTTTTGACAAAATTCCCAATAAAAATCCTGAACATCCTCACAGTTGTGAGCAAAGGACCAAATAAAAAACCAAAATCCCAAAATAAATGAATCGTTCTTGTTGGCGCTGACCGACAGATCTGCAGCCTTTAAGTGTGCGAGCTTCGCCTGTGCACGTCCTTAATACTGACACTTTCTCCTTTCTCTCTTTTCTCCCACGCAGGCCTACAGCTCCATCCTGGTTGCCATGGTGATTCTGCTCAACATCGGAGTGGCTATTTTGTTTATCCACTTTTTTATTTAAAGGCGGCGATGCTTTCAGAGGCAACTTACCTATGCCAGAAACACGATGAAAACCACCAGTATTACAGCAAATCTGCTGCCCCTCCGTGCGTCCCGGCCGACGGAAGACCCGGACCGAGGACCGGAGAGGGGGAACCGAGGCCAGCCGGGTCCGGTCCGGTCCGGTCCGGTCCGGTCCGGGAGGAGGAAGAGCTGAGGCCAAAGAATAGGACAGCAGGTTGGTCCAGGGAGGAACCTGGACTTGTGTGACCCAAATGGGTTGACTTGAACACGCAGACAGGACTGACGGACTTTTTCATTGTCAAATCATAGTTTTCGACAGATTTGTAACTTCAGATTTATTTATTGAGTTTTTTTTCTTCCCATGTGCAATACGTTGATGGTTGTATTGTTTATTTTTGCAGCCCACCCTCTTCTCTCTGAAACCCCTGCCTTTTACTTCCTCCACCTCCCCAGCGGCTGTTACTGATGGTACAGGCGGTGAAACCAACCCGGGCGGCGAGTTCTCATTTCACCTCGCGTTTCATGCACTTGTGCAGGTGTGTGTGTGCAGGTGTGTGTGTGCAGGTGTGTGTGTGCATGTGCGAGTTCTCCAATTGCATCCAGAGGTTGGCAGAGTACCACTACCTATTTATACGTTTTTACTCCAGTAAAAGTAAAAAGTATTCATCCAAGAAATTACTCAAGAGGAAAGGTCTACTCAAGTATGAGCAACTGATCAAATGATCAATCGTTTAATGTTGATGGACCAAAATGTAAAGTTAAGTGGAAATTTTGGTAATTTAAGGACAGTGAATGACAATAATGCATTCATATTTCCAAATTAGTTTCTTTCAATGAAAAAAACTTCTGAAATTTTTACTAAAATTGCAGGTGTGTGTCTGGTGAATTTTTGGCTAAAATATGTTTGATTTTAATTCAGTGGGTAGAAAATCCAGAAATTGTACTCATGTAAGAGCAGCGATACTTCATGATAAAATTACTCAAGTAACAATAGAAAGAATAGCATAGCAAAAATATTTCTAAAGGTAATTTTCTTCAGTTAGTCAATAAATATAAATGAGTAAATTACATTTATTGTGCAGTTTTGTTACGAATATTTTTAAGCAATTATCAATATTACTAAGTAAGAGCACAATACACAAGTGTTGCTCTGATTTTAACTACAGCCGCCAATTCGTATTTCCAAACACTAGATGGCGCTCCTCTCCTTACTTACCCAGACCTAGACAAAAATGTAATGTCGAAGTAGAAAGCGCTGCGCAAATGTGCTTTAACTGCAAACGATTCTTGTGGTCAGAAGTGACAGCTAATTTGAAAGAATATGTTTTATAAATCTACAAAGAACAGGAGACTCTGCAACTGCAAAACGTAATGGGAACAAAAGAATCTGTGGGTTCAGCCTGTCAGAGATTAAAGCTTTTTGCAGTTTGCCATCAGGAGTTTTCAATTGGACATGGAGGTGAAAACGATTAATCTCAGCTGTTTACATAAAACTTAATGATAAGTAATGTGCTTTTGACCAACAATGAAGGGTGGAAGATGCGGTTTTTAAAAATCTTTCTGCTTACCAAGGACAGAACCTTTTACGTTATCATGAAAACATAAAGAAATTAATGATTATTATTATTCAGTAAGAAATATTGTGCCTGATGTAGCACAATATTGTGCTACCTCCCGCATTTTGGAGGTGCAGAGTTGGCAAGCGCAGTACATCTCAAATCTTCAAGTTGAATTTTTGAAACCAAAAATCATTAGCAACGTTTGGATGAGCAATGCTCAAAGTATTAGCATTTTCTGAATCATCCAGTTGTTAGCTAAACAGCTAGCTAACACTAGACTTGGAAATAACCCACTCTGATCGTTTTGTTGCAATTCATAAAATGTTAACAACTTTTTGCTTTTTTATTTTTATTTTACTAGAAGAGCATCCTAACATTACAAGACAGTCATTTAAAAAGCTTGGATAAATTTATTAAAGCCTGACGAGACTTTCTGTGATTCTTTCTCTGAAATAGATTCAGTCGTTTCCTGAATCGTTTCAAAGAACTGCTATTGATAATTTGGTGATGAAGTGTTCGAAGACGAAGTATTCCTTATCTATAAGACCAACACCAGAGTAGAACTTAAGATGCTCAACATCCCTCATTTTAAGTTTTTGTTGGTTTTTGTGTAGCAGTTAACATAAAATTGCAACGTTATCCTGGTATTATGTTGACTTCATTTTCTCTCAACTTTATTTTTGTGTTGCTAAAACTTTATTTTGTTAATATTATAACTTTATTGTTGTGCCAATTCCTGTGGCACGAGTATTCAATTGTTTGACCTGAATCCAAAGTGTACATAAATAAACCGTAAAACACGCTTTTCAAACAAGATGGCCGCCCTGACACCACCCTCCACTATGTAAACACAAAGAGTGGTGAGATCCATGTTTTCAAAAAAATTAATTGTTTAAAAAAATAGCATTCAATAACAACAATCAAAGTTGAATCCCAGGTTAAGCAGTAATTCAATTGTAATTAAACGGCCAGTGATGGTATTTGATTTGATTTGTTTGGACTAGGACACCCATGGTGTAATGAAGGACTGTTGGATTCTCCTGCAGCTGTCTGCACCCATCAGAGATCTCCATCTGCACCAAATTACTTGTTTTCACTGCTTGTAAAATCTTTAAGTGCATCCAATGCAACATTTCTGTTCCTCACTGCAAAAATATCGACATCTGTTTTTGTTTAACTGCATATGTTTCCATTCTTCTTGCACATCGTGTTTGATACCATCAGTAACGGCGTCCAGGGGGGCCGAGAGGACTTTGAAGGTTTCTTTTCTCTTCTTTTTTTATCGTTTTTAACAGTCTGACAGCATTTCTTAAACTTGGGATTGGAGCAGAAACTAAAGGCTGTGGGTTCACTTCTGGTGTTCCTCCAACTTATTCCAACTACAGCTGAGTCGGATGTGCCTGCAGCCCGAGAGGCAGAACAATAGATTTTTATTTCATTCTGGGTCCCAGGAAGAATTTCAGAGGCTCTGCTGAATGCCGTCAGCCTGGTGAGGATGCCCTGCCCCACCGTTTTAGTCTGCAGCATGCCACAGCATGCCAAGCTCTTTCTATATAGGTTTGAATCTCCTATTCCTTTCTTTCTCTCTTCCTTTCTTTCTTCCTTTCCTTCTTTCTTTCTGGAAATACTCTGTTTTTGTTTTTCAGTTGTGTGGAGAAAACAATGAAAGTGTTTCAAAGAAAACATTTTGCCTCTCGTGTGTTTTTATATGTTCGTTTGTGTTTGGTTTGGTTCTGCTGTGTGCGTTTGTGCAGTTTTGCAGCATCCCTGATGCAATGAAGGAGTGGGCCCGGTTGGGAAGGGAGAGTTACTATGGCAACCATAACTGAGTTTTTCTCGTCAGACAAGGGGGCGTGGCTAGCGGGCTGTGGGCGTGGCTTGTTTTCTGTTCAATGACGATTGAAGACAAAAGGTGATCTTATGAAGGTTTTTTTCCTTTAAAAAAAGTAAACGTGAGAAAAAAATATAAATCTATGTGGTAGATCTGATCAATGACGTTATATTTTAAATAGTGTCATATTTTGTGGTCTTATGTTTATTTTTCTGAGAATGTAAATCATCTTTTAGCAGCAGGTGTGCTTTGATTAGATTTCACTGTAGACACCTGGCGCCATCTTCTGGACATAGATCTGAACCACAACATTTTAAATGAATAATGCATTTATTATTGTTAATGATATGACTAATATTCCGCTCTAGGTAAAGCTAAAATTATTTAAAGTTTCTCTCCAGTTCAGAGGTCTGAAGGAGCCCAAGTACGGAGCTGGATGAAGACAGAGCGGGAATTTATCTCTTGAAGTTTGGATGTTTTTCCAATAAGTTTTGGTGAAGAAAAAAAAACTGAGTCAGATTAAAAACCTGACGCAGAAATTCGGTGTCCAGGAGGCTTTCGACCAGAACCAGGTCCAGTCCTCCTGAAAAGAGAAGAGCAGCAGGTCAAGTGGTAAAGTGATGGATGGATGGATGAGTGGAGAGTTGACTATAATTTCACAACAAAAATCTGATATAAAAAAAAAAGAAATGTCTCCATATTATTACATTTCTGCCTAAGTCAATCAGATTTCTAATGAGTTATTATGTATTTATTGGTGAAAAATAAAGAAAACTGGTGTTTAAAAGCGACTTTCCTCAGTTACCCAAGAGCCAGAAACTCATCTGAGATACTTATGAAGGCCATGAGAAAAGATGTGGAGTAGGCAGGTAGCGGAAATACCTCTGCACCAATCAGAACGCAGGATCTCATTATTGACTGTCCGGTCAGCCAATCAGAGGAGACCATACCTCTCCGTGGGCCAGCGCTGGGATAATGTTCTTCACAGCTGTTTTTTTTCCTCTCTTTCTGAAGTCATGGCAGGATTCAGGCAGGATTAAACTTCCAGTTTGCTGAACGGTGAATAAACTCGGAACTTTTACCGCTGAGACCTGCGCGCACAGCCCCGTCTGGTGAGGTAATGTCTCTGAAATGTTCAAATGCCATTCCCAGCTGCAGCGGGCTGTAGCCCCAGGCTGCTCCGGGTTTGCTTTTTAAGCTTTGTCCCAGTTGAAACAGTTGATCCGGGACCATGAGGACGCTCCGCTCCGAAGTCTCTGCTCGGTTCGGCTTGAACGAGACCAAGAATTTCCAACTGTCCGCAGCCGGATTGTGAGGAAGCGTGAGGTCCGGTGGTGACCCAGTCCGGACGGCAAGACCTCAGCAGACCCTGCCGGGATTACTGTGGAAGAAGTCCGAAAACAAAGGAAACTTTTGTTGTTCTTTCATTCCCCTCCGCTGGGAACAAACTCAGGAGTTTGGAGAAAGTTCAGAAAGTTTTGACGCACGCGCGCGCTCCCTTTGATGTGAGCGCCGACAGGTTCTTCTGATCCAGGTGGTTCCAGGTGAGAGGATGGTGGAGAGCCGCAGCTGCGTCCAGAGAGAGGGGGTGTACCGCTGGTTCTCCACCCTCACCTCCGCCCAGAGAGCGGAGTTCCTCTGCGGCCTGCTGGACCTCTGCGTCCCCATCGAGCTGCGCTTCCTCGGCTCCTGCCTGGAGGACCTGGCCCGCAAGGACTACCACTCCCTGCGGGATGCGGAGATCAAAGCCAACAACCCCGCCGACCTCTCGGGACTCACCAACGTCACGGACGAGGTGGTCCGCAGCAAGCTGCTGGTGTCGCTGGCGCTGCTGGGCACGGACAACCGGGAGGCCGCGGGGGTCCTGTACCGGACCCTGACCCACATCGACACGGTGATCAACAACTACGGGCTGGCGCTGAACGACGGCAGGACGGAGGAGCAGTTCCTGCTGCTGTTCACCATGGCCTGCAACCACCCAGCCTTCAACTTCCACCAGAAACAGGTGCTGAGGCATCAGCTGGGCCACATCCAGGACATCCTGCAGGTGAGGGCAGAGGTCAAAGGTCGGTGTTGTCCATATGGACACAAACCAGCTCAAAAATGAATCAAATTCAGTATGACACAAAGGGGGAGGAATCCTGCTAATATAGTGTTTGATTAATCGTTAACTGGAGTAAACAAATACAAAAATGCGTTTTACTGAAAGAACAACATATTCAGAGAAGAAAATAAGTCAAAATCTTACAAAAATATATAGATTTGACTTTTATAATGACAAAATCTTCTCTGTAAATAAACTAGCTCCAAAATGAATCAAATTGAATAGGATGTAGTATTGAAACGATTAATTGTGATGCAGAAATGATTAATCATTAGCTGGACGACACAGAAACAGGAAAAAGTGCAGTTTGCTGAAAGAACAACATATTCAGCAGTAATTAAGTCACAGTAATAAATCTTGCTGGATGATAAATTCTTCCAGAAGTAATTGTGATAAACAATAATTTTGTCATTTTAAGACAATTTTATAGGTAATATGATTATAATGGCATAACAATACAAGATCAATAAACTCTAATTTATTGATCATTTAATACTGGAACTGGAAGACTTTTTAAATATCCAAAATAAACCAATAAAAGATTAATAACAATAAATAAAATTAATTGTGAAGCCTTTGTAAACAAAATTGTCCTTTAAAAATGGGCTGAAAACTTTTATCATCCAAATTTCTGGTATAAGAGAAAAGCAATAAATGGTACACATGGAAATTATTGAGCTTGTTTTAATTTAACATACGATGAATTGATTTATTGCTTATTAGGCTTAATACTTGGCACCTTTTGCTATTCAATAGTTAATCAGTTCATCCAAACAATAGTAAGCAAATTATTCCTACACCTTGTTAATGTTGAGAAGAAAGTGTTACGCAACCATCGATGAAACAATTAATCGTGATTAATTCATAATCAAAATATTGGTCAACTAATTTAATAATCAATGAATCATTAAGTGGAGAATACAGTCTCAAAAAATACTATTTGCTAAAAGAACAAGATACTCAGAGCTGCAGTTAAACCAAACAATAGTATGAACAGTTTGCATTTAATATTTACATTTTTTATCTGTAAATATGTATTATACCCAGAACTCCACAAGCAGAAGTTTTTAACTTCATCTGTTTCAAATTCTGTAAAAAAAAACTTTCCCATTAATCACCCATTGCTATTCAATTATCAATTGGTCAATACAAAAGCTAGTAAAGAGATCAATCCTATTGATTAAGTTGTGCAGATGCAGCTAAAAAATAGTAATAAAATATTTATCTTATTTATAAAAGGAACTGAATTATTTATTTTTGTTTTTGATAAAACACGTTTTGGTCATTAAATGAAAAATCTGCATAATGTGATGATTAATTGATTACTAAAATAATTGTTCCTGGGATATACAATATTTAACAACAAAACACAGAGACCTCTTACAATATCTGAAGAATATGGGATTTTAATCCTTATTTTCCACATCTGGTTAAGAGTAGAAAGTGAAAAATGTGTTTCCGGGACCGATTATCCATTTATAATTATTTATTATCCAACGTCTCTCTGTGTCCTTTTAGTCATCTAATAATCAGATCATCCATCAATGCCTCCTATGATTCATTCTGTTATTTCCACAGCCTACATTTAACTTGTTTTTAATTTTAGCTTTAAATATATTAATACGTCTGAGAACAGAGCGGTCTGGTCAGAACAGGTTTGATTCAAACTCAGCTGCTTTCAACCAGGTTTTAATCTAAATCATTTAGTCCTGTCTGATTAAAATAATCTTCAAACAACCAGACTGAGCACAGTCAATAAAAATGATAATAGATTTCACTGAATATTTGCTGCAGTTTCCCAGGAAGTCTGAGGAATCACACTGTGATTTTTATTGTTGCTTTGGGACAGAATATCACGTTCATGTTCCAGAATCCTTCGTTTTAGTTTCTGCTTTTGTGTCTCTGTGGAAATTCCTCTACAGACAACTGAAGTGTTTTCATGGTTTTTCTTAGTGTTGTTCCTTTTGCAAGAGGAAGTGAAAGCAGCGTCTGTGGTGTGAATGACATCAACAATACAAGACAGTGATGACACCAGAGCAGAAAACATGTTGAATGTGAGGAGTTGTCAGGTTTTTTAAAGGCATTGGGAGTTAAAAACACGGCTGCTGCAAAGTTAATGCATCTGCTGAAAAGCTTTGTGAGAGCATTTCTTAAATGTAGGTCAAATAAAAGAGTAAAATGTGAAAAACAGTTGAAGCTAAAAGGAAAAAAGTGGAGCTAAACATGACAGCAGTGCAACAGCTGCATCGAATCAAAATCTTAAAGTTTGGATCAAAATTCTCAGAGAGCTTCTTAAAAGGAAGTTTAACTCTGCAGCTTAAACGATTAATGGGATTTAATCAGCTCAAACAATAAAATGTCTTCCTTATAATTAATGACGCATCTGTTTCTCAGTGAATCAAAAAACATCAAATTTCTATTTTGATGTTCCTTTTCCTTCCCTTTTGGGACCAGACAAATTAAAATCAACTAATATGATGTTTTAGGGCTGAAACAATGAATTGGATTAATACATTTTTGAAATAATTGTCAACTAATTTACTAATCAATTAATTGTTAGCTATTATGCATCGCCAGGAAAAGGTGAACTTCTGAAAGAACAACATATTTTTTAGCTTTTAATTATCAAGCATTTACTAAAGGAATGCCATGTTGTTGCATTTTAGTAAATAAAATGTTTATTTTCTATTTAAAAAAAGAAGTCAATTATTGGTGTATTTACATCTTTTATGTATTTCCAGTATTTTATGTAAAAAAAAAAAAGGACTAAATGAGAAATCAGCAGAATATGCTGATTATTTTAACTGATTAACCAATTAATCATCAAAATAATGGATAAATTAACCAATATGTAAATTAATTGTTAGTTGCAGGTCCAGCCGTCTCTGGCAGAAAGGAACGCGTCTTTAGTTGAAGTAGGTGGAGTTAAGCAAGCATACATGTTTCCTCTGTACCTAATTACAGGTGAGACATGAACAGGCAGTAACTCACCTCCACTGTTACTTATTCAACTGGAAAATTACACACTTAGCTGGGAAAGTTGGAAATGATACGTCTGCGTTTATGTTTCCCTTTGAGTTAGAGGTAAAATTTCAAACTTTGTATTGTGTACTTTTAAATTTACATTAAATTTTATTTTATAACCAAATAAAATATTGACAGATTTAAGTTTTTCTAGATCAAAACGCACCAAGCGCTTCACCAAATAAAAGTTGCAACAAATATGAATTGTTATCCAACAGAATATTGTCAGAATTATTACAGGAAATAATTTTTTTGTTTGTTTAATTTGGGAGTTGACACATGTGGGAAAAGTTTTGCAATAATCTAGACAAGACAAAAGCATAAATAACTGTCTGAAGCTCTCGTTTTCACACCAGCGCTCTTACTATGGAAAAGTCTTTAAACAAAACTTTATCAACTATCTCAGTCGGTTTGAAGAACTGAGAATCTGAGTGTCATCTGCAAAAAATGTTTCAGAAAATGTAATAATAATCTGTGTTGATGTTAAATGAGAACTGGTCCCAAAACGATGCCCTGGGGTGCCCCGTGCTGGGGCAATTATTAGCTCGCAATTATTTTAGAAATCAATTATTCTATCAATTTTTGTGGTGAAACTGGATTGAAGAATATTATTTATCCACTTAAGCTTATTTCATGCACTGTTAGAAATACATAAAATCCAAAAATAAAAAATTATTCACTTATGTTGTATAAAATCAGCATAAGTGATTAAATAAAATTTGTTAAAATCTGATTAATCATCTGAATAATCGATTCATTCATTCTGTGTGTTTGGGATCTTCGACACGTTTCATCCGTCTGGCTGATAATTTAAAGGAATGTTGAATCTTTGAAGAGAAGTTTTCCTTCGTCCCCTCTGTGTGACGAACCAGTGAAAAAGCCCCACAGCATGATGCTACCACCACCCTTTTCCAGGCTGGCAGAGGAGGAGGAGGAGCAGGAGGAGGAGCAGGAGCAGGAGCAGGAGGAGGAGGAGAAGCTGCAGCAGAAGCTGGCAGTGATGGAGCTGCTGGTTGCTATGGTGTGCAGCCTCATTCCCACTTCCACCGCCAGGCCGCCGCCGTGCCTCAGGCCGCCGCCGTGCCTCAGGCCGCCGCCGTGCCTCAGGCCGCCGCCGTGCCTCAGGCTGCCGCTGTGCCCAACGCCAGCACCACCTACCTGCCAACCTGCTACTGGCACAAGGTAGGAAGCAAACTTTTAATTTTTCCTTTGATTCCCAAACTCCTGCAGCTGTAGAATCATGACAGGATTGAGATGGAGGAACTAAATTTAACTTAAAATAAAAGATTTTTTGTGTTTTTAATAGGCATCCCTGTTTGGTTACTTTGTACAAGTTATAAATCAGCCACATTTAATTTGGTAGAGGAAGAAAGTTTTATAAAACCTGCAGCGCTGTGAGCAATATTTGGAAAAGAAGTGAGTTCAGGAGCAAAATGCTGTTAATAAAAGACAAGCGGAGGCTGTCGTTTCAACCCACATGTGGTCGAGCAGCCGGGATGTGATAAAACACGGAGAACGCAGTGGGAGCAAAAGGAGGGGATTTCCAGATGATGCCGGAAACCGAGCCGCTCCTTTAACCCTTCGGATCATCCGGCACAGGGTCAAAGGAGCAAAAACTGGGAGGAAAAACAACGACTGTAGAGAAGTTCAAAGGCAAAACATTTAATTTGTTGCTTAACTTGATGGAGACGTAAACACGGTTTTACAGTCTGTAGTCGGTCCGATGCAGGGAAAGTACCCGGCTCAGAGGAGCGCTTGTATTTAGTGTTTTGTTGCCCTTGGCTCCTGCTTAGTGCAGGTCAGCACATTTCTCAGTGCTGAAATCAACCCTCTGTGGTGTGTGTGAGTCTCCAGTGAATCCCCAGGAAGTTATAAGTGCTCTCTCTTTGGCTGTCTTTCCATCTCTCTGTGCTCTGAAGCGACCGGCGGGCTTCTATTTAAATCCAGAACCGTCGCATATCACAGGTTAACCAGAGAAATGCAGGTTTTTTGGGCGGTAAGAAAATGGAGGGACATTTGTGACTTCTGATTTTATAACTATATCTGTTTAGATACAGATGTAATCTCATCTAAACAGCTGAGATCTAATTTCATTTGAACAGATGAGATCTAATCTCATCTGAACAGATCTAATCTCATCTGAACAGATCTAATCTCATCTGAAAAGATGAGATTAGATCTGTATGACTTCACCAGTCAGTCAGATTGTTGGGGAGGAAGTTTTTCCTTAGTTCACTTTCAGAGCATTTATGCCACCATTGTGCTTCCGTTCCAGTAAAGATGTTTTTTAATCAGAATCACTTTATTACAAAGCAAATTGCTTTGATGTAATGTAAGTAGATTACATTACATAAATTTACATAAATAAATTTAAACTAAATCTATTTAAAATAAATAACATGACACTTAGCCTGACGGGATGTCTCGTTAATCCTGGCAGCCCGCCAGGCTGATAAATCCTGGAGTTGAAATCATGACGGGTTTTTTTGCCTTTGCTTTGTGTTAGCACGCCTTTATTCTCGAGAGCAATAAACTACTGTTTTTATGAAGTTGTTTGAACTCTAATGATCGGTTTTTAACCATTTTGACCAAATATTCTGTCGTCGTTCTGTTATCCTGCTGAGTCCTGCTGCGTCCCATCTCTCCGCTGTTGTGACTCGTGTCTCTCTTGTCTCTCCGTTTCTCAAGTCATCTCTCCTAACCTTTGACTAACTGGAAGCAGCTGGATGCTGAGTGACTCCAGAGAGGTTTTTATGCTGAAACAATGCGGTAGTTTAAACACAGCATATGCAACATATTACAACATTACTAGGCCAGTTGAAACCTGCATAATCGGCCCATTATATGGACGCTTTATAGGGCAATAAAAACAAAGCCTGTGTGGGAATTAACAGCTGACTTTTATATGAGAGAAAGGAGGAGCTACTGTACCAGAAATCTGGATTTTTATAGCTTCAAGCCACAATTTTTTGTTAAATTTATTCCTGGAGTTTCTTTTAATTCAGCTTCCAATGTTTGTTCCCCATTTTACCTCGAAGCTCTGCTTCCTTCCAGGCTGCTGGCAGGCGGGCTCAGGAACATGCGGATGTGGCGGTAGCACTCTTAATTGTTTTCAGATCTATGGCTGGAGGATTTCTGCTAACAGCACGCACTGTATCTGGGATTTTCATTTCTGATGACTCAGCATTTTAAGTAGGGAATTTCTGACGCACTTTGGATGGAAAGACTAAAAAAAATATATATATTTATATCAGCTAGCTAGTTTATAACATTTGCAGTTCAGATTAGGTTTATTGGTGTCTGAACTCGACAACAGTCCTGGATTCGGGTCTGGGAGTGTTTCATAACCAGTTGAGGTATTGTTGATATTGGAAACAGCTTGTGGTGCAAGTTTGCCACATGTTAACAATCAGTTTTCAGCAAATGTGTATCAACCTCAAAAGCAAAAACCCTGGTGGAAAGAAATCTGCTGCAATCACTGGAGCTATTTCCCTCTTGACGTATTTATCTCAGTTTTCCATTTAGAAACTGCTAACACATTTTACATTTTTCCACTTTTTTTATATCTTGAATACATTTCGGATTTCTCTGAGATGGAATCGCTGCTGTATATTTAGCAGCTGAATGTTTTTTTTTGGCTTTGTGAAATGCCTCAGATAATTAAGTTATCATTATAACAAATAATAAATCTGCTTTTCAGATCAAGTGAAAAGAAACATATGGAATTGTGAACTAAAAATGTCCTATTTTGTTGCAACCTTTTCATATTTATTAGTACTTGACTGGATAAAAATACTAATATAATGTTTTAGGGATGGATCAGTTAATCAGACTAATTGACTTTTGCAATAATTGTCAAATAATCTAGTAAATGATCAATTGTTAACAGGAGTAGACTCAAACATTCTGAGTCAGAGCAGAATGTTTGTAAGTAAGTCAAAATTTCACAACAAATGTAAATATTTTGCATTTAAAATATTTTTTTTCAAGCTGCAGTTTAATTATTGATTTTTTGTTTTGTTTTAAATACCATAAATGCTGCCAAACTGAAGGAGTGACCTTCCCTGTTTCATCCACAGTTTTCTCTCCTCGGCTCTGTTTTTGATTTTTAAGCATTTACGAGTCGCAGTGAAAAAACCTCAAACTGCTGCTGTTCCAGTGACTCAGCAGGTTGTTGCAAGGCAACCAAAGAATGAATCAGTTAGTTCAAAGTTGCAGTGAGACTTTGAGCAGCTAAAACCTTTCCTCTGCCTCCATCTCCCAGAATGCTGTGCGGTTCAGTGAATATTCTATCAGATGTGTTATCCACAGTGACCATGTGTCTATTGCCATATGTATATATATAAAACAAAGATTTCTTCTGAAGACATTGTCCAAAAAAGAAAAAAACAACTTCTGCACAGAACCTCTGATTTATTATTTGATTTTAATTCTTTGGTTTCACCTGGACATGAAAATGTCTCTTTCTCAAACATTTTGTCATGTTTCATGTCCATCAGATCCATTAAAAGCTCCTGATAATGCTTCTGTTTGCTGACATTTGTAAACCTTGATATTTCATGTGTTCTCCTGACCTCTGACCCCCAGAACCAGAGCAGAGAGGTGTCGACGGGGTCAGGCCCGTCTTGCGGCGCAGCGTTGGGAAACGAAGAGCAGGCGGTCCACCAGGAGCTGCCGGCCCCTCGCCCAGAGCGCCGCTCTCCTCCGCCGCCCCTGCAGGTCCAGGATGCAAGCAGGAGCCGCCAGGAGAAATCAGCGAAAGGTGAGCAGCTGCCAAAGACAACCTAAAAAAACATGTGAGCAAGATGCAGCATGCTGCCGCGTCTGAACACAAGCAGAAAGAATGCGGCCCTCGGGGCTGGGCGGGAAAACTGCAGCGAGGTTCTGACACAAAAATATAGAGTCAGCATCAACTAGAGCTGGACAATACGGCTTCAAAATAAAATGTATATTTTAGTTTTTAAGAAAGAAAGAAATTACAAATGACAGAAAATGTTTTGAAAAAGACTCAATTAATCAATAAATCAATTTATAATTTAAAACAAGCTAAATAATTTCCATCTGCACGATTTCTCTTTTTTCTCTTTCTACCATAAACTGGATGATAAAAGTTGTCAGTCTGATGTTTTGGTTTCAACTCGAAGGACAATTTTGTTTGCAGAAACTTCATCATTCATTTTATTGTTGTTTTTGTTTAATTATTTAAATACTTGAAATCCATTTGCAGTGTTAAATGTTCTTTAGAATATAAAGTTAATTGATGTTTGAGAATGTCTTTTGAATTATTATGCCATCATTACTACTATATTACTTAAAAATGGTCTCAAAACATTGTTCTTTATCACAATAACACAAATTGCTACTGTGACAGTTTCAACGGTTACTGTAAAAATAAATTAAAATTAAGCAAAATTACACATGAAACCCTGTATACGATTAAATTTGTCTAAAATATATGCTCAAATGTAATACTTGTAGCCGATTCGGGTTAACAGATGGCAACAGATAAAAGGGGCGGGGCTATCAGTTGCTATGGTAACCACCAACTGCCACGTGCAGAGAAGCACGTGCTGAAAATGGCCTCCAAACAACAATATTATCATTTATCACAATAAGTTCTGGGTCGATTTATCGTCCAGCAAATTCTGTTATTGTGACGGGAATATTTATGTAATTATGAAAAGATAATCGTTATCAGCAGGAAAAACATTTTAACCCGAAATAAAGTTGATATGAAATTTGCAGGTCAGTTCGTGTGATTCTTTCTTCCAAATGAACGCAGGTGATTCAACGATCGTTTCAAAATCTCATCATGATTTGATGCTGATGTGTTAAAAGATGAAGTATTTCCTAGTTTTAAAACCAATACCAACATATAACTTCACAAGATGCCCAACATTCCTCGTTTTAATTATCTTTATGTTGGAGTTATTATAAACTTATTATACTAATTTTCTGACTTTCTTCTCATATGACTTAGAATTTATTCTGGTAATTTTATAACTTTATTTGCATATTATTTTGACTTTACTACAGTAATATAACAACTTTTTCTCTTATTATTACAACTTTATTCTGGCAACGCTCTAACATTTTTTGTGTTTTTTTAAATACTTTTTTAATACAACTTTTTCTTATATCATTTAGACTTTATTATGGCAATTTTATAACTTTTTTCTAAAATTACTTCAACCTTATTGTCATATGACTTTTTTCTTTTTTTTTTGCAACTATTCTGGCAATATTGAAGGTTTGAAAATAGAATTCAATTAATTCTGGTGAATAATATTGTCATATTATTGACTGTATTGTCATACAACTTTTTCTTTCATTATTTTATTATTACAACTTTGTTGCTAAATCATTTGAGCTTGTTTTTTATTTATGTGAATCTTTCTGAAGCCAAACTGATCAAGAGGGACGTTTTCCATTATCAGCTATTAGAAATCAGTGACCCGTTGAGCAGCTCGTGTGTCAGAGTTTACGCCAGTGTGTCCGATCTGTAACACAACACTCAACTATGTCACCTCTGCTAACACTGCATAGCTGTCACCGACATTAAACCTTCAGCGTGCAAACAGCAGAGCAACCTGTTTCGATCCGTGTTGTCTCGTTGCTTTTTGTTTAGTTTCTCCAGCAGCTGATTGTTTCATTTTTCTGTCACTCTATGAAACTGTTGCTGTAAAGTAATAAAATCAGGAGGTAATAAACAGTTTGCTGATGTAAAATGACACAAAGCATTTAGAAAACCCTCTTTATCCCCGTTTCAGCAGCTTGTCCCTTCACGCCCAAAAGCCACACACACATTTGTACTTGCAATAACTTTCCATTGAGTTTAGTTTTGATTCGTTTAACTTTTTGTCTAATTCATTTAGTTCTAATTCATTTTCATAGTGTGTTTGCTGGTTTTTATAGTTAAGTATTGATTAGTTCTTAATCTTAGTAGTAGTTTTAGTTTTTTGACAAATTTTTAGGTAACTACAACAATTAATATGAATATGAAATAATAATATGAATAATAATATGAAATCATGTGAATCATGAAGTTTCTGCAAACAAAATAGCATCAGTCTGACAACTTTTGTCATCCAGTTTTGTTTGCTTTTATTTACATTTTTGGCTTGATTACTGCTGAGGTGTTATTCTTTCAGAAAATTTTATTTACAATTAACCACAAATAATCGATTAATTGTGGTTAATTTGATTGTTTCTGTTATTAATATGAAGATACTAGTATTGTGTACGATTGCCAATTTGACTTGGAAGGGGTTATTTTGTAAATATTTTTGTCAGAAACCCAAATTTGGTTACTTATGATTGATTTGTAAGTTGAATTTGAAAAACAAAGTATTTAAAAAAAAAAAGCCTGGGAAGGTTTGAAAATAGTTTCAAAATAAAAACATGGAATTTTTAATCCTGCATTTTATTTTGTTTCTCTATATTTTAGCATGTCAGTTATATTGACTTTATCGCCACCTGCTGGTGTGGGATGTGTTTTTCAGCTTTTTTTCAGTGGAACAGCTCTTATACTGACTGTGTGTTTTTACTGGTCTGTGAACTGATGTGTGCGTCTTGCAGCTGTGATTGAGCGGGTGGTGCTCAGAAGAGCGATCCACAAGCCAGAGAACGGCAGCGAATATGTGTTTGAGGTAGATCAACTCCAATAAGGTAGTTTTTTTATTGTTGTTTGCTGTTTTCCTTCATTGCGTTCCTCCTTTCCTCTGCCTCTCCAGGTGGGCTGGTCCGACGGTTTTACATCATCTGTTGTCAGAACTCAACAGGAAGTGGCAGAGCTCATATCCCAGGTAATAATCTGGTAGTAATCTGGGCTTCTGGGATTTGGTGATTTCTAACTTCTTCTAATTTCTAACTTCTTCTTCTTGTATTAATAGAATATTTTCCTCTGCTTTAGGTGAAATTATTGTTGTCACGTTTCAGGTTTTTGTGTAAAAATCTAAGTGTCATCAGCATAGAGTGATACTGTGCAGTAAACTGTGTAGTTTTGATTTAATCGTGCTGAATGTTGTTGTTTTAGCTCTCTCAGGTGTTTCCTGACGATGGACTGGAGAAGTTCCTCCCTCAATCCGCAGAGGTCGACACCAGGTCAGTGCAGAAACCTCTTTTGACCAAACATCAAATTGTTTTCACCCCAACTTTCACTTCTAAAAGTGTAAGCCGACATTCTGCATCCATTAAATCTAGATAATGACACTAAAAACCTTCCCTTCTCTATATGTCTTCTCTTCACTGTCATGCTGGTTTTTGGGTGGCTGTGTTGCTCCACCCAGGTGTCTGGCTGCGCTGCCCAGCCTCGTCCTGCAGCATCACTCCGTCCAGCTGTTCTTCACCTCCAGCCGACCTTTGACCCCCAGCTGCCCCGCGTCTCCTCCCTCCACCAGGTTACCTCCGGCTTTCCCCACCTGCTCATCCTCCAGTAAGTCCTGCCATGTTTCCACCAGAATTATTTGACTTACTTTGACCAGGAATGCCGGTAAAAGAACAAACAGTTCTAGACAGAAAATAACAGCAAGCAAAAGAGAACAGCAGTGAAATATATCCACACATTCAATAGAGAGGTCTACTCAAGCAACTGATCAAATTATCAATCAATAAATATTTAAAAATGACATCAGACGGACCAAAATATAAAGTTTAGTGGAAATTTGGGTATTTTAAGAACAACTATTAATTGTCTCAAAACTGTTTTATTGCTTGATTTCTGATGCAGATATACGAAATATTTTTTTGTGGTTCTGATTTTAAAGCTTTAAATTCCAATTTTATTTCCCCTAAATTATGAAAGGCTTTCCTTTTCCTTCTAAATCTTCCCCATGAAGAAATTAATCTGAGCTTTAAATAAGCTACTAATACTTGTGTTGTTATATTTTCAACTAATATAACAGTCATGGTGCAATAATGCAAAGACACATTCTCAAACATCAATAAACTTTAATTTCTAATGAACATTTAATACTGGAACTGAAAATACATTTTAAATATTAAAAATAAATACAAAATTTATTGATTTCTGAAATCTCTAAACAAAATGTTCCTTTAGAAAGTTCTGGATGGGACAAAAGCAACAAACTTTAAATTTGTCATTAATTGATTTATTGCTTCTTGAAACAGACCATTTATTCAGAATGATTAAGTTAGTTAAGTTGTGTAAACCCACCAACATTTCTAAATATAGATTTTTTTTTGAGGCATCAAGTTTGCATGATTTTTTTAAGTGAAGTCTACGCAGTGCGTTTTGCAGTGCAGGAAGTCTGTGTGGTTTGTTTGGGATGAGGAAAGGAAGAGCCGGTCGTGGCGACGCGGCGCTCTGAGCTGTTTGAGGTGTCGGACGGAGCCGACCGGCTCTATTTCGGTCCGGTGTGGGAATTCACTGCGGCAGACTGGGACACCAGACTGGGATGACCTCATACTGGTGTGTGTTACTCAAATATACTACATACAGAGGACCTCTTTCACCGACGGTGGGAAAAGTTTTTTTCAGCTCTATTGTACGGTACTGCTTATGAACTATTGGGAATATGGCGGTAATTAAACATAAATGCAGTTACTCAGATTTGTTTTTGGGTGACATCAGGGCTCTGCAACCTGTGGCTCTTTGGACTTTCCACTATGGCTTTTTATAGCTACGTTGTGTTTAAATATATCTCTAAATATTGATCTTTAGAATCAATATTTAGAGCAGTTTTTTATTTAAAAAGTGCAATAAATATAACTCATTTAAAAAAATTAAAATGATTCTGAGTGGTTTTCAGTTGTTCTTCTGTTATTTTCCATTTGTTGTTGCTCACTGCATCAAATTAATAAAACCTGCATCTCCAGGTTTTATTTGTTGACAGATTCCAGGGTTGTGCTCAGGCACAAAATGTCTGGATGTAAACAATAACATGCAAGCGGCCCGAGGATTTCAGGCTGCGAAGATCCTCCATGTGGTTCATTAAGTAGTTATTAACTATATCATAGTCTAAGATCTGAGGCAACTTTTCTGGTAGATTTTTCTTCTCCATCTCATACAAGTTGATCTAGTAAGTTGATTCAGTTTGGTCATATACTTTTTTCTAAGAGAAAAATATATTTTGTTTGTTGATCTCAAAGCTTTTTGTTGGGTTCTGCTATGTGCTAACCTATTAAGATGGCGCAGAATGAATGAAAGTCCTTATGAAGATAGAAAGACGCAATAAGTGTGTGTGTGTGTGTGTGTGTGTGTGTGTGTGTGTGTGTGTGTGTGTGTGTGTGTGTGTGTGTGTGTGTGTGTGTGTGTGTGTGTGTGTGTGTGACTTCATCTCAGAGTGTATTTATAGCTGCCGATCATCATGTGTCTCAGTGTTTATGCCTCTGAATTGTTGCAGCTCTCAGCTGCAGCATTGTGAGCAACGTCAGGGGGAAGCTCTTCCACCAACACACTAGTTGATGAAAGTCTTTGTTTCTGTTTCAGACCCCGGCTGTATGGTGCAGTACAGAGGAGCTAACAGGTAAACATTCTTGCAGACCCCAAAGGTTTCTGGGTGATAAACCACCAGTCAACAGTTGCTCTTCCTAACATCAGTAATACTAAGAGTGAGCTAGTCGCTGATGTAGAAGGGTGATCTGGGATGGAAAATGTGTTTTATGGGATGATGATTCTGATTCTTCTTTTCATTTTAAAGGGGAAGTGTTATGCAAAATATATTTTAAAAGCTTTACATCATTATTCAATCATCAAAAATAAATCTGGAGTTTTTTGATTCTTTCATGCAAGTTTGAGAAATCCTGTTATCTGCATGACAACCATCCAGCTGGGTGGACTTAGCTCGGCCTTCAAGGTGAAGCTCCTCCCCCACCGAGTTCCTTCAGACTAGCCAGCAGCAATTAGCAAACACCTGTTGAAACTGCAAATCTACTGAGTTCATTATAGGAGCTACTTCCCTTTGTAATGTTGGCAGAGCAGGAGTCTCTTAAAGAGACAGAGGCCCAATTTCAGGGTGTTACAACAGGAAGCCAAATTTCTTCTAAGTCATATTTAACATATATATCATGTTCATAAAAACTGAAGGTAACATAGTTACTTGATTATGCTATAAAATGGCACTATGTGCCTGGAAAACACCAAGCTGCCCATTTAAGTCTTCTGTATCAGATGAACCTGGGTCACTTCCTGCTCTATTTTCAGGGCGTTGTACCGGGTGGCCAGCGTCCAGCCCGTGGTCAGCACCCACAGCTCGGTTCTGACCCGCTCCCCGCCTCACCTGTCCTCCCTCCTGCCTCCCCCCACGCCGCTGCCTCCCTCCATGCACCACCTCCACCCTCCACCCAGCACCCAGTCGCTGCACCTGTCCCACTCCCAGCAGGTGTCCCACTCCCCCTCCCTGCCCCGCTCCCAGTCCCATCCGGCCCAGTTAACGCAGAATCAACCCAACACGCCAGAGCAGAACGGCATCCTGGACTGGCTGCGTAAACTCCGGCTCCATAAGTACTACCCAGTCTTCAAACAGCTCACCATGGAGGAGGTCTGTTTACATTCTGTTTCTATTGCATTAATTAGCAAGGGAAATATTCTAACCTCTTCTGAGAAACGTCCTGATCTGTGTTTGTGCACAGTTTTTGGCGCTGACGGAGGAAGACCTCAACAAGTACGACTTGACCCAGGGAGCGAAGAAGAAACTCAAGACTCAGCTGGAGCTTCAAAAGTCAGCAGAGTAAGCTGCAGGAGATCCGGTTTGTCTGATGCGTTCGGCTGCAAAAGAGTGTCAGGAAATCAGGAAACAGCTCAGAAAAGCTTCTGCTTCAGGGCTGTTGTCCTCCTTAATAAAACGTTTACTCAGGGTCAAAACGATTAATCGGATCAGTCGTGATTAACGGTTAACTGTTTAATCGTTAGGTGGACTATACAGACTCTAACAGCAGTAATTAAGCCTAAACTGTACAAAAAATCGATACCTTGCATTTAAGATTCTGGGTAAAACAAATTCACAGACAAAAGATTTTTTTATCCTAATTGGAAATTTTTTATATTTTCTGCACATTTTGGTCTTAATTACAACTCTGAGTATGTTTTTCTTTCAGCAAATTACCTTTAATTGAATCTGTATTCGTCAGTTAACAATTAATTGATCACTAAATCAATTGGCAATTTTTTAAATAATCTATCACAATTATTTAATTAAAATACTGGAAAACTGCCTTTTTAAAATTATATCTATTTAAAAACATTGATTGATCTTTATCTTTCTTCGTCAAGCTTCCTAATTTCTGCGGTGAAGTTCAGATACAATTCAGGGTTCAAATTATTATTTTATCATCAGGAAATGTTTAAAGTAATCTGCTGAAGTGTCAATCTGCTTCAATCTGAGATACGTTTGGTTTTGGCCTGAACTCCGTTATCGGGTAACAAGCTGGCTGATCGGCCAACGATAAAAAAGGTGCAAAAGCTGAACTTAGAGTCCATAAACGGTCAATGGTTAACTGGCTGCTGCGGATCAGAGAGATAAGATGTACTGAACGGGTTGGAAATGTGTGTGGAAACGGAAAAAAAAAAAAACTGAACCTGCAGGAAAACCCTTTAGTGAGTCCAAACCTGAGCATCATTTCCTTCATCTGTCAGCGTCAGCAGCTTTCCAGCCAGGTGGGGATGTGTGTGTGTTTGTGCTCAAACAGGAAGCAGAAAATAGAAATGTCCTCCAGCAGCTTTTCCACATTTTTAAATTAGAACCAAGCTGACAGATTTAGTGGACAGTGTCTCCCCCTGGTGGATAAAAGTCGTCTTTTCTGGTGCAGCAGGGAGATGAAGACTGAGAAGCGGCCCTGCAGCGGCATCGCCAGGGTTACACCGTCCAGTCACATGGGAATCTCAGTGCACCCCACCTCCACTGCAGGTAGGAGGCGATACGAGGCGCCACACCCAAAAACAGGTTGTATCTTTATATAAATATAGACAGAAAGAATAGTTCATTTAAGGATGTCTTAACTCCGGTGGGGGACCAAAGTTGCGATGTCTGTCACATTTTCAGCCTGTCTTTCACACTGCAGTGTCAAACTACTGAGTTCGTTCGTGTAGAAAGTCTGGGTCGTTTGGGGAGGTGTGAATGTGTAACTGAACTCTGATGAGGACCAAACCGGCAAATTCTGGTGCCTTTTGAATGGCAAGTGGACCAGAGGTTTTTCCACAAGCAGGAAATGAACTATAGCGCAGAGCATTCTGGGTAAATACAACTGAAACAACCGTGTGAGTCTAGCGCTAACTGGAGAAAAGGAACGTGATTTTATATCAAGACAAAGGAGAAATCCTCCAACCACCAAAACGTCTCTCCATTTTTGTTTGCATTTTGTGAGGAAGGAAGTTTCGCTCAGTTTTCTTCAGAGGTTTTTGTGTCGTTTCCTTCGGAGGTTCTTGGTGCAGCGCCACCAAAAGGCGAGGAGGGGAACAGGTTGCTCAAAGGGTTTGGTTCGTTTGACAAAGTGCGATGTGAAAGAAAACCACAAATGTAACAAATTCTTGAGCCATCAAGAAACAAAAGTTTATAAACTTCAAAAAGCCGTAACTAGAATCGGCCTAGAAAACTGAAGTCAGTGCTTTTCGTATAGTGCAATATTTAAAAAATAATAACTTTTTATTTCCCTTCTAAATATTTACATTTATTCCTAATGGATTAGTTGATATTATGTTTATATGTTTACCAGAGCAAGGTTTTAGGGAAATATTAAAGTGTGAAAGTTAAAGGTTTTTGCAGAAAACCCTTTTTTTGAACTATTGTGCAGGAGAGCTGCGAGTGGAGGTGGACGGAGTGCCACATCTTCCTCTTCCTCCTCCTCCTCCTCCTGCTCCTCCTCCTCACCTGATGCCCACAGACAGCAGCTCCTCCTGGATGTCGCTCTGCTGCGACTCGGCCTTCGACAGGAGCAGAGACGCTGTGGGCCGTAAGTAGAGCCAGGCAACGAACCGGCCTTATTCATTCATTAGATCTTTTGGTCACCTGTATTTTAAATGCTTTGTGTTTCCATAGTGCGTCCAGGGCGGCCATCTTGTTTGACAAGTGAATTCAGGTCAAGCTTACAGCAGAATATTAGGGCCAAGATACGATGATTTTTTATAATTATTAGAATAAAGTCATAAGATCACCAAAATAAAGTCTCAGAAATATGACAATAAAGTTGACATAATACAAGGATAATGTCAGAATATCAGCAGAATAAAGTCGTACTTTTATGCTAATCCTACATGAAACAAACAAAAACTTAAATAGAGGAATATTAAGGACCTACTTTAGTATCAGTTTTACTTTATTTGGATTTTAACAGTTAAAATTCAATTACCTATGGATGAATTTGTGCAAAAGAAAAATCTAATGAACATGTTTAGTCACTTTTAAGCTGCATCTCGATTGGATCAGATTTCCTTCATTCAGTCGTGTTGGGATGACAGACGGACATTATGTCTCAATAAAAACACGTATTTCACATTCCAGACGTAAAGAACCAACAGAACATGACATTCCTACTTTACTGAACAATCTAATTTATTTATTGATTCCCTTTGGGATCAATAAATTATTCTTGAAGTTCCATCAGGGTTTCTTCTCATGCTGTGGTTCTGTGTTTCAGGTCCGAACGCCGCCGGCGGTACAGAGAAGGAGCGCTTCCTGTTGAGCTCTGCCGGTCCGTCCCGTCCCACGGCTCAGGTTCTTCCGGTTCAGACCGACCCGGCGCCCCTCCACCCCCCGTCCTGCTCCTCCCACCTCCCCCTCAGCGTCCTGCAGACCGCCTTCCCGCCGCAGCCCAGCTTCCCGACTCGCGTCCTGTCCTCCCCCAGGAAGCCACGCCCCTCGCCGCTTGGCGCAGACGACCGCGCGAAGCCGCTGGGCGCCGTGGCGGCAGGATCCGGGTTCAGCCTGGGGCCCGGGGTCGGCGTGGCGGCGCGGCTGGAGAGCCAGTTCTCAGGGCTCAGCGTGGCGGACGGCGGCCCTCAGGAGGCCGCGGCGTCCCGTACGCGACCCGGCGCCGCCGTGGGTCTGATGGTGGAAACAAGCTCCGCCCTCACCTCCACCTCCAACAGCCTGCACCACGTCTCCCAGCCGCCGCTCCTCTTCCACCTGTCCTCCTCCCCGACCGGGTACCACATCTACCCCCCCGCCTCATCCGCCCCGCCCGCCAACGCCGCCGGGAACCAGTACTACCAGTCTCCCTCCAGCCCCGCCCTGCCCACATCCGCGCCGCCCTCCTCCAATCATAACGCCTCTGTGTGTGTCTGCAGCTCCTGCGGTTGCCACGGTAACTGCAGCCCGTACGCGGCGATGTCTGGATACGCCGCCGCCGGCTACCTGCAGCCATCTTTGTTCACCCTGGGGCCGCTGCTCCACCTCAGCCCGCTCATCGCCTCCTCCAGCGCCGCCGCCCCGCCCTTCTCCTACCCCATGATGGTCCCGCCTCCGCTCTACCGCCAGAGCCCCACGTCACATGACCAGCAGCAGAGCTTCGGCTTCTACCAGCCGCACGGCATTGTGGGAAACGGAGGCCAGAAGCGTGCGGTAGGAAACATGTCGTGCTACAACTGCGGCGGCGGCGGACATCGAGCCGAGGACTGCAAGCAGCCGGCGATGGACTCAGTGCAGCAAGGTGAGAGAAACTGGAAGAAAAACAATGAAATATGAAAATAATACCAGAATGATGTCATTTTTCTACAATAATGTCAAAATATTACAACACTAATAATATGAGAATAAAGTTAATTTGGTTTTCAAACATGGCAGATTTTTCTTATAGCCTTTTTTCAATATTAGAAATGCATTAATAGATGCAAATGATCCAACTCCTTACTTAAAATAAGAAAACCAGAACTGCAATAAAAGCATTTAATTAGTGAACACTCAATCATTTGTTGCAAGTTAAAAACATACGTTCTGTTTGACTTAATGTCATGTATGGATGATATATTGATTAGTTTTTGGTGCAACTAACTGATAATTGTATCTAATCTGGACATTTTTAATTCTAACTTGTGTTTTTTGCTGCGTTTCTCAGGAACATTTCGGCTGAAATTCACTCCTCACTCTCAGAGTAAAGACTCAGGAGAATGAACCACGGAGAGGCGGTGACCTTTGACCTGCTGGAAGCGTTTTCACCTGCAGGAACGAACCAGCGAGTCGGTGAAACGCTGATGGAGAAACGTTCAACTTTCCAACAAACCGGAGCTTCAGCCTCAGACTGACTGCAGGAAGAGCTTCACGCTTCCTCACCGCGGCAGCAGCTGCTCAGCCAAACCAGGGAGTTTGAACTTTGGCTTTTCACTTTTCAGACTCTGTAATTTCAGTATTATCCTTCATTTTAACGTCATGCTGCAGTCAGGTTTCAATCGGCTGAGTTCAAAATAAACAATCAAAAGGAGATTTAAAAACAGGGTGAAACTTTTCTCCGACGAGGCGTTCGGGTGACGGCCGATTCAGAACGACCAATCATTTTTAAGCAGCGGCTGAGGGAACGTCGCCTCTGCAGCGTTTCTACCTCAGATCTGAGCTGAAGGCAGAATCATGGAAACATTTCAAATACACCAACTTTCACTCCCTCCTCCTTCAGATCCGACCTAATCAGTGTCAAACGTCTGCGCAGCAAATGTTTTTCTGTCATTTTAAACGTATTAAAAATGTAAAAAACGTATGCTGCACAAAAGCAGTGCAGTTGATTGACATTTGATTATCTCTAATTAGTACGTTTAAAATATTAGTGGCACAAACAAAAAACTACAGCACAAACCTGGCACAGTTCAATTAATTAATCTAAATTAATTAGCACAATTAATTTAGATCAAATTTGTTAGATTTTGTTCATTTTGATTGGATACATGAACTTTTTGCTGCACAAAACTAGTGCTGTTGACTGACACCATATTTGTTAGACTTTTTAAATATGTGTGTTGTCGTTGACCTTTGATGACCTCTCCGGGCATTTAATCACATCTTTAAAATGATTGTGGCACAAATAAAATTTTGCAGCACAAACGTTTGACACCGATTTGGTTTAAATTGAAGGTTTTAGGGCCAATTCACTCAGGTCCGACTTTCTCCGTGTTTGGTTGGGTTTTCCTGTTTTGTGTTGCTCCTGCAGACTAGCGGCTGCAGGAGCAACATGTCATGCTGCACGGCGACGTGTGTATCGGTGTGTTGGGGTCTGAGGTGTGTGACTCTGGGCTGGACCCGGATCAGCTCTGCTCTCCTGGAGGGAGCACAGGAAGCAAGAAAGGGATTTAATTTAAAATACTAAACGTCCGATTAAGTTCTGCTGAAAATAAATAAAAAAGGTTTGTTTGTGTTTTGAGATGATTGTATCAAAATGTTCTGGGTTGTATTATTATTTTGGGGGAATCTCTTGTTCAACTTTCATAGTTTTTGCTCCTGTTGGATTTTTTTTTTTTTTTTTTTTTTACAGCAGCGTTTGATGTTACTTTTTAAAATGTTTTGTTTGCAAACGTTTCAGCAGTTTGTCTGGAGTTCAGGTTTTATATTTTCTGATGTTTGGTAGTTTCTCTTCAGATTTAAGGCTCTTTATGTTTCTTTATTTCCTTAACGTTGTAATATAAAGAATTTAATGGCGTCATTATTCACATCGCTACTGTTAAAACTTTGAATAACTGCCTCTATTTTCACATTCGACGAGATTCTTCGTCATCCGGAGTCGTGGTTCCTCTTTTATGCTTCTGATCAGAAACTGATCGTATCAAACTTTTGCAGAAACACGTTCGAGATAAAAAATAATACATAAAGGACAAAAGAAGTTATTTTAATTCACTAGCATGTGACATATGTTTGATATCTTGCATAAAGTGTATTTAGGCCACTGCAGAGAAAAATTTATTTCCACTGAAAAATCTCAAATTTTCTAGAAAGAAAATTTGAGATTTTCTTAGTTTCAAAAGTAAAACATTTTCAACTTATAAAGTTTAGAAAGTTTCCAAAAAAAAAAAAAATCAACCATTTTCCATATTTGTTCTAGAAAACATCTGAGCTTAAATCTAAAAATCTGAGGTTTTACAGACAAATTTCTGAGAAATTAATCTGAGATTAATGATTAATTTCAGAAATCAACAGGGTAATTTCTGACAAACTAAAATATGTTTAGTTCCATTTTATACAAAATATAAATTTAAATGTAAAAAATTAAAATCTTGCCAAGTTTTCTTTCATTTAGCAAACAGAAATTTTCATAATTCTGAAAATTATTTAACTTGTAAAAAAATTAAGTTTTGTTTCAACTGCAGGTCTTTAAAACAAGCCTTTCTACACCCAAAAACTAAAGACAATAATATTTTGCATCTTTTTATTGTTTACAAAATACCAACATAAACACATAATGGATGCTGTGAGATATTGCTGGACGCGGCGTTTTAACAAACCCGCCGCCCGTGTCACCTTTACAAAACCATGGAATAAAATCACATTAAATAAAACAAACCCAAAAAATATTAACACTTCAGTATAAAGCAGCTAAACCTCAACATGTTATGATGAAGATGAGGAGGAGGAGGAGCGAGTTCAGCCCTTTCAAACAAACAGACCCCCTGGGGAGGCGTTTGATTCCCACGATCGCAGCGCTCCGAACTTCTGGGACTTTTTAACGAAGAAATGAAACGAGGAAAGAAGAAGACAAAGACACCTCGCCCTTCCTCACAGGCAACATCGTCATCATCAGCTCCTTGTAGTGGGTCCACAACTCGACTTGGTGACACTCCTAAGAAAGCTGCATGTTATCTCTTAAATTTCCGTTTTACGCAAATGATGGTCTGCTCTGAGACTGGTACGGTGAGAGGAAGGAAGAGACGGGAATAAAAACAGGAACATGATGGGAACGAGGAAGCAACAGGCATTAAACATCCACTCCAGAGTTTCAAAAAAAAAGAAAATCCCCAAACTTTGAATAAAATCCTGCATGAAAACAACAGGAGAACTCTGGAGCCGCTTCCTATAGAACCTCCAACCATAAAGCTTAATAACGGTTTATGTATATATTTATATCAATGGATCCATAGAGATGTGACCTCACTATCTGAAACTCGTATGAACACATGGTCATAAATATAGCCGTGGAGCTACAGCACTGGAGGCGAGGGCCCCCAGGGGCCCCGGCTGCCGAACGTCTCCTGGGAGGCGTACACCATGTACAGGAAGCCGTCCTGGTCCTTCTCGCGCTCGTACACTTCAGAGATGGGCGCCGACACGGACACCATGCTGTGGCCGTTGACCAGCAGGAAGAAGGCCTGGTTGGAGTTCAGCTGGAGGCGCCTCCTGGTGGACAGACAGAGACATGACAGCAGGAAACTGATGAGAAAAAGGAAAGTTTCATCAGCATACAGTGTCAAACACTTTTCTCATCTTTTGTTTTCCTTCTACTTTTCTTTCTCTGATTTAAGGATTCATCAACAACATGTTGACTTTCCCATCAAATATTTCTTATTTACCTGGATGTGTGGAAGTTATTGCTGAGATTTTAAAGGTGTGCTTCCCTGAACAGGTTAGCATCGGTCCACGGTCTACATAAAACATGTCCATTACATTTTTTCTCACTAAATCATTCCTGGAAAATGAGATTTCATTCTGCTTCGTTCTGCCCATTTTCAGGCTTCTGCCACTAAAAAACAGCAAAGCATTTTTGGATGGTTTGTTGATTCACCGCACATTGGTGAAGTATTTTATGGTGACTAAAGTGCGTCACCTGACTTTGTGACGCACTTTAAAAATATTTAAAAGGAATTTTGAAATACGTTTTTCTCTTTAAACCTTTTCAAATTACAAACGCCTGAAAGACTTTTCTTGGTGAAAAACTGCCAAGAATCTTTTTCTTTCCACTTCAGTTTTAGGCTAAATTGTGCAACTGCATCATCAAAGATTTGTTAGAGACACTGACATTCAACATATAGGTGCAGGTTTGGGAACTTTAAAGCGTTTCAGGCCAAACAATTTGGATAAAAGGTGAAAACAAAAAGGACTAAAGCAGGAAGCGCTCATTAAATGTTTGTACCTGATGATCTTGATGAGTTCGCTCATGTTGACATGGTCCGGTACCAGAAACTTGGTTTTATCCAGGATGGGCAGCTGCTTTTCTCCTATATATCGCTCAATGATGACCTGCAGGAGCAGAAAACAATCAGATTCATTGTGGATTCTCCAGCAGTGAACCAGAAACGACTCGAAAACTGTGAGGCTGCAGCTCCGTCACAAACCAACTTATTTCTACATTTAAAATCAGAAGATGTTTTTATTTCACTGAAATGCAGAAGTTGTGTGAACATCTAACCCAACAGTCTCTATTAATGCAGCAGATAATTATTGAACATGCAGATACTAAAACCTAACTTGGCACAAAGTTACAATTAAAAAAAAAAAAAACTGAAAAACTCTGGGAAAAGTTTTTTTTCCAACTAAATTTGCCAATATTTATCACATATTTATACTTTTTGTGTTAAATTGTACATATTTATGACAGAAATAATATTTTTGAATTGTTTCAAAATGGCTCCCATGGTTAGAAACAACTTCTGCTCTAAAACTGGCAATTATATGAATGTGTTTGTTGTTCAACCTTAAAAATCAGATTTTTTTTCTTTAGTTTGCGTTTCCTTTTTCTGGTGAAAATTTTTTAAAATGGCTGCCATGGTAATAATGGAGTAATTAATGGCCGTTTGTCATGAAAATGGGCAGCAGTTGTCAGTTTCAAACACAGTTTAAAACATCAGTTCACTAACAACTAATCCAAATTCAAGAAGAATCTCAGCTCCAATAACGTTGGAAACATAAACGCATAACATTTATATAATTATTTAATCGTTAAAATATTTTTAAAACTGCAGAAGGCGATTCTAAACTGCTAAATATATAAAACAATAAGCAGAAAAATTTACTTTGATCTACAATACACATAAAAGATTAGCAGAAGCTAAAGCTAAACACATAAGAAGTAAGCTAATGTTAAATCACTAAACATTTTTTTAAATTGCAGAAGTTAATGATGGATCAATAAACAGGGGAAACTAGCAGAAGCTAAAGCTAAATTAAAGAAAAATAGCTGACAGTGTAACGAACCAAACGCCTTTGATTTGTTTTTCTGCCTTCAACATTTTAACCTGCAAACTCAATTTTCTGACTATTGTAATTTATCTTCAGTTGCTTCTCTAAAGTCGTTGCTTTTGCTTCTTGTTTGTTTTGTTGCCGTGACAAAATGTGGAAAACTTCAACGAGTGTCAATATATTTGAGAACTGACCAGAAGGCAGAGAACAAAATCAGAATTCATCTGAATGGAGAGAAAAGTCCTGCTGGATCTCGTTGTGAGGATTTTTGTTTTTAAACCAAGTTGAGCTCAGGGTTTGTTTGGAAGGAGAGACGTCGACTCGTCTTCATGGTGTTTCATTACAGTGACGCAGCACATCTGCCTCCACCCGGGCCGCACGCTGTGACCCGGCAGGTTCTAACCACAGGACCGGACAGGAAGCAGGGAAAGCAGAGTCGGGGGGGCGGGGTGCGCCGCTGCAGGCAGCAGATGGACAGCAGAGCTGATACTTTATCTGCTGATGATGCGACGAGTCGCTGGAACACAAAGTGAGCTTCTGCTTTCTACTGGCTCACAGATAAATACGTTTAGCTGAAACTAAGGATTACTCTGGTTATCAATTAATCTGTAGATTATTCTGGCAATTAAGAAAAAAGGGAGATTTTTCCTTTTGACCTATTTATGCAACATTAGATGTACATTAATAGATGCAATGTACATCTAATACCTTTTTTGATAAAACATCATGTTTCTTAAGATGCACTCCTTTAGTGTAAACTGGATCATTTGTAGCAAAGATGAATCTTAAGTTTAAAAAATACTTTTTGTCTTTATTCAGTATCTGGGTGATCTATGATTAGTTTATGAATTAATTCATTAATAATTGGGAAGCAAAAGTTTCTAAAACAAGATTTATTTCACAGAATTCAAACCAGCTGAAGCTAAAAATGCCTCAAAGAGAAAAACATATTTACCAACAAAGAGTTTTTTAATATTTAATGCCAAACGTATAAAGTTTTGTACAGTTTTGGTTTAATTTCTGCTCTGAGTGTGTTGTTCTTTTGTTGAGTTAACAATCAATAGATCACTAAATTAGTTGATGGTTATTTCAATAGTTGATCAATCACAATTATTTGTTTCAGCCCTAAAATAAACTACAACTTTCATTCATTTTGATCTGCAGCAGAAGCTCTGATAAATAAAAGAGAAGAAAAACAGAAACCCGTCAGACAGACAGAGCAGAGCGAGGTGATCGCCCAGGAAGTGTGCGGTCGGTGAAGTTTTTGCTGCAGGAAGCGTTTCGTCTTCCTGTGAGCGTTTTAAAAAGAAAAAAAAAAAAGGCTGACACTAGTTTCAGTTTTACGTTTGGCAGCTGAACTTACAGGGATCTTGTTGGGGTGCTGGTCCTGGATCAGCCTGACATCTTCTACTCGCTGCTCTGTTGGGAGACAAAACAGGAAGGAAGCATCAGAATGAGCTGTTAGAAGAGCAAAGAGGGAAAATCCAAACATTGTCATTTGAATAAAGTTGTTCTGCATCACAATGGATTTGGTTACAATATACAGGCAACTGTGGTTCAACAGGTTTACGCTACAATTTAAATAAATAAAATAAAAAAACTCCCCTCATATGAACAGGCTGGACTGCAAGAGTTGCTGTTGATGTTTGCAAATCCAGTATTTAAAGTGATGCCAACT